TTTTGTTGCTGTGGTTTTGCTATCTTTGTTTTGTAGGTGTGGAGCCGAGAAGTCCGGTGTGCTGTCTTGTGTTTTCTCAACAAATAATTTACATATCTTCTAATCTCTTTTTCACTCTTTCTCAATGCATTTCACTTTTTACTTTCTTTTCTTCTTTTTCTCCAAAAAAAAAAAACAAAACAAAACAAAACAAAAAAAAGTTTGACACATGCTCTAGTCTAGGCTTATTGATGTTAAAACGCTGACATTTGGAGACAAGAATAGATCTGGGATAAACTCATCTTTATAGCCTGAATAAACTAAAATAAAAAAATGAAATTGAGATTTGTGGTTAAGTCAACATGTGACATCAAATTTTTGTCATAAATTTGAATTCATTTTTGGAAAGACAACACTGATAACATAATGCAAGACAGATTTCACACCACTCAGATGGACAGTTGTTGAGATATTTACATGGAAAGTAACAGGAAGTGACATCAAAGGGGAATGTACAATGAGGTATATTTAATATATTTATATTTAATCTGGTAAGTACTCAGCATTGTTTACATAATTTGAATAGCCCCATCCYTTTAAGTAGACTGTTTCAAGATGGCGTCGCACTTAGCATATCTTGRCCCCAGACTCTTGACAGGGTAGCCTCTCTAGTGTATAAAGGAATGTATGCGTGAGCAGAGCATTGATAACGTCTGACAACACAGACTGTAGAGAAGAATCTGTTTTTTTTAGATCATTTTCAGTCACTATCAGAGAGATGAATGTTTCAATAAACAAAGGTAAGAGTGAGAGGGTTTTCTTTCTTAAAGAGTTCCCCTTTGATGTCACTTCCTGTTTCATTTTGGCTGAGCTAAATCCAAAAGAAAATATGCTGGTTAAGGTGACAAAAATGGGTAAAACCACGTGTATTATGCCAAGTTTTTTAAAAATTATTTCTTAGACTTTTTGTATTTGAAGTATTTGTACGTCACAGGCTCTTTAAGAATGAAAGTAATTTACAAAGAAATGTTTACAAAACAATGAAAAGTCCTTTATTGCCATCAGAACATGAGTGAGACACAATCTGACAGTGAGGAGACAACTGTACAACCAGCACACACACAAACACACCGAGCAGTCTTTCAACAGCGTGACGGATAGACAGAAAGGAATACAGTACTTAACACAATGAGGTATAAAGGCAAACGCACACAAACACACACTCACACAACTAAACCAAACTTAAGATCTCGTTCATCCTCTACAAATAAGTGAGCAGAAATGTACAACAGCAGCAGAGGGGGAAAGGGGGTGGAGGGTTCATCTCAAATCAACCACACTCCCTTTTGTCTGTCTCTCAAAACTTTGGTCATGTGGATGTTTGCCATCATGCACAATGTTGTCCTCGGAGTTTAACACTCGCCAGACTCCAAAAAGCTCACGGACACAGATCTTCTGAGAAAGACGATAAAAAAATTAAAAATAAAAAAAGATGGGGAGGGAAAAGTGTTCCAAAGCGCTCTTCCCAAAACAGTTTCTACATTAGTTGGACATTCAACGTGTGAGGTTAGCAGCAGTTCTAAATGAAACGATGGTTTTTGTTAAGCTGATTATTAACACCCTTTCTTCATGCACTGGACAGGCACCACCTACCCCTCACTAAAACACCATGCAGGTTAGAAAAAAACCCCAAAAACAAACGAAAAACAACGAGACAAAGAAATCACAGCTCATTTCCACAAAAAGGATTGATTTCACTTGAATATTTTATTTCATACTTTCTAAAGATGTGGAAATAGCAACAAAAAAGGAAATGGAGAGCAGTAACCAACACAACAGTAACAACACGAGCAGAGAGCCACTGAGGTTTCCAGTCCGTCTCTTACTCCATCGCGTTGACCCCAAAACTGCCAGGTACAGGACGGACACCTTCGCTTCCAGTTTTCACTGCGGCACTTTGCGCCACACAGTGGAATCCCCTGGTGTCTCACCTGTGTGTGTGTGTGTGTGTGGGTGTGTGTACCTGTAAAATTAGGGCCTGAGTGTCATGTAGCTCTCATTTCTTTTGAAGCTGTTCCAATCTCACAACCTGCAGCCGCCTGGCCTCCCCTCCCTCCCCCCTACGCCGGCCGCGCTCGGCACGGAGGAGGCGTGGGCCTCTCGTGCGTTTGGAGCTTCCTGAAGAAGCCAACATGGCTGCCACCTCTGAGTCAAATACTGTCAAGTCTGCTGCTGTACGGGCTCAGACTGAGACCCGCCAAAGACTTTATAAAAAAATAACAGAGGGTGGCAACATAGCGTGACCCCCCCACCCCCAGGCTTTGTGTTCGTGCCCCTCGTGGTTTAGTTTTAAGGTCATCTTAACTGGGCTTCCACTGTCCCTCTAATCAGAACAAGCAGCTTGGATTTTAGTTTTGGCACCAGACTTTGCTTCCCTCATGTTGGCCTGCCACTTTTTATCTCTGGTCACTCCCTCACAGGTCTGTTCCTTCAAAACAAAAATTAAAGATTAAAAAAAGGAAGAATACTTCCTCCCCTTTTCTTCCTCCCAGGAAACAAAAAAACAAACTGAATGGAAAAAAAAACCTCAAGTGTTTATTAGATTTTTTTTTCAAATTCAAGGCACAATGTCTATCAATATTCCCATCTGTCCATCTTCGGCGTGTGAACATTGCCTCACATCAGCCTTTGGACCGTCTTTGCTCAAATGCCTACAGCTCGCGTCTCTCTTAAATACAGAGGCGCTGTTGTTTTGGTTCAGAGAGCAACCGCCGAGTCCAAACCAGTGATAAACAATGAACTAAATTAACATCAAAATAAGGAGGACACGAATAAAGACAACCGTTTAAAAAAACAAAAAAAAGAAGTCTTGTCCTGTTTTATGTGTTTCAGTATTTTTAGAAATCAAGTCATATCCACCAGCTGTTTTTTGGCAAGCTAGTTGTGTTTTTAAATAAGCACTAAGTACTGATATATAGGATAGCATACACCGTTAACGTGTGGTTTTAAGTAGATGCGTTGGTCATTTTTATGTACTTTTCACTCTCGTTGGATGAACTCAGGTATTTTGTCAGGTACGTTTCGATCTTCTGTTTAAGGTTTAAGTTAATGCAAGCAGGGACAGAGTTTGCCGTGTAGTCTTGCTCGACTTGGGTACGCGAGGGGAGGGTGTCGTCTCCTTATGAGACCCCGTTGACCAGAGTCAGGGTCTCGCTGGCCGAGGTCGTGCCTTTGCTGGGAGAAYGCTTCATGGGCGTTCGTTCGTCGCTCTTTGCGCTGGTGCCGTTCTCCTGTGGGTGGAAAGTGGTGAACAAGTGTGAGAAGCATCATCTAATCCACAGATTCTTAACCTATGGGCCACCTTGAGGGCCTCAAAAGAACAACAGTTTTTAACTTTGGGCCGCAGAGGGCCACACTGATTTTGAATAAGGTGCAATACACCTTCTCACCACTAGTAGCGATAGCGCACCACTCAGATGTTTAACAATTTTTTTAATACGAAGAAGAAGCACCTTAGAAACCTGTCGAGAATAGAAACCTATTTTAAATGAAAAGTAGATGCAAAAATGAATGTAACCTGTCAAAAAATGCCAAAGTTTGTCACTAATATGAAGAGCAGCTTCTGGTTCTACCAAACAAAAGTTTAAAAAGGCTTTATTCTCATTTGTACTTTATCATATTTATTTTTACAGTTTTTTTATTTGGAACATTTGCATTAAATATTTTTGAATGCATTTATTTTATTATCATAATTTTATTTATTGAACTGTCTATTTTTGTTGTTTTGTTAAAAAAATGTTATTTTTGTGTTGACTGACTGTTGTATTTGTTCAAATAATCGTTATGGGCAGGTTACAATATAAAAAAAGTTTGTTATAATCATGTCTTGTGATTATTTGACATGAGTTTTACTTTTAAACTGTAAGTGTATTATATTTAGTTATAATGCAAATACAATAACAAATTAAACCAAGATTTTGAATAATTATCATTTTGATCCATATGGTAATGTCTGACTGGGCCTCGTGTCGTTTTATGTTGAACAAATTGGGCCCCGAGGTCAAAAAGGTTAATGCTGCGTTCACACCGAACGCGATTTCAGCTTCAAAATCGCAGCCAACGCTGAAGTTTGAAGCTTGTGCACTTTGAGGTCAGACGCAGGACAGCTCTTGAAGCGCTGCACGGCGACAGCCGCCCCGCCCCTCCCTCCTCTGTCGGGCTCTGTTTAATGTCGGACGAGGAAGTGGCTTTGCTTTATTTACAGAGAGCCAGAACGTGTCACGTTCATCAGATAATTAATTCATAATTAATTCACCAGATAATTCAGAGAAGAGGCTCACAGCTCGCTTTCAGGACTATTTTTCCAGTCTGATGAGTCGCTGCCACGCATTGCTGCGGATCAGGACACGACTGCAGCACTCATTTCAGCTAAAGAGCAGGAGCTCTGTCTGTTTCAGGTTAGTGGACATCATTCAGTAAACTGTCCCGTCGGGAAATATGTCGCTACGTCACACAGCGGAGTCTCTCTGATTGGTTGACGCTGCGCGTCGAGCTGCAAAAGTTCAGATTTTCTAACTTCAGCGATTTGAACGATCTGAGCGTTCGACGCTCAGATCGTTCAAATCGTTCAAATCGCGCTGCTCTAATCGTGCTTGAGGCGCCGCAGAACTTCCCGACGTTGCTTGAAGCGCGTCCACCATAGACTTTGTATGTAAACCTGCTGCTCCTGAYGCTGAAATCGCGTTCGGTGTGAACGCACCATAAGAACCCCTGATCTGATCAAGAAAAACAGCAAGGTTTTGTTTGTAGCTTCACCTTGGGTTCGACGTGGTTCTCCTTCTGGGGCAGATTCTGCCTGCTCTGGGACTCGGCACGAGATATGTAGTCAGCAACCGTCACTGGAGGCAATAAACTCTGTTAGTTAGAGCAGTCTCTCTGGGCTGAAGTCATTTCCTTCCAAACACGAGGACTCACCGCTCTCTCCTGGCTGCCTGTCACGGCTGGTTGAACCTCCCTCTGTCCGGCTGCCACGGTTCCGGCGGCGACGGCTTCGGTTGCGGCGCTGAGGTCGTGCTTCTTCATCTAACAGTCAAATATATAAAAAAAAAAAGTGGATTACCTCTCTGCTTCCCCCTCTCTCAAGTTGTGCTTCTCACTGCGATGGTGCTCTCTCACCTATCCCGTTCTCGCTGGGGCCGGCTTGGCTATCCGACTCCACAGCAGCATCCATCACACTGGGCTCCTGGTCGTTGCGGCGGCGGCGGGATCGTCTGCGGCGGTCTCCTCCCATGCCCTCGCCGACGTCTGCATCAGCCAGCTCTCCCTCTCCCTCCAGCAGAGAGTATGGGTTACTGTCCGGGTCCCTCAGCACTGGACGGCACAGAAACAGGAAACATCTCTTGTACGCACACTTGCTTCGTCATTTAAAAATACTGACGTTTCAGAGTCTAAGAATCAAATCTACACTTGTCAGATACAGCCTCCAATTTCAAAACTGTTGGGACATTTGTGGAAAATGCAACAACTAATAATGAATTAAAGCTATTGGTGGGAAAAAAACAGACTTCTCATCTTCATCTGGTAAATGTAGCAGTGTGAGCCGGTACAGATTTCTGGGCTTCCAGCTCCTCAGACTGGGCCGTGTCACAGAGCTGTCTGGCAAAGCCAAAGGTGGAAGCTTCCATTTTTACATTATTATCTTACAACTGACCTGGAAGCCTCTATTTCCCTTTTTCTCTAAAACTGATTTAAATTGTGATTTTATAGCACCGGGACTCCAAAGCAAATTTCTTGTATGTACAAATGTATTTGGCAATTTTGATTATTTTTTTAAACCACAAACAAAATTTTGTTTATCACAATTAGCAGGTGTTCTGAGAATGTAAAGTCTGCAGATTTCAGGGATCTATTGTACACGCTCTCCTGAAGTGATGGGGTCTTTCCAGATGCTGACTGTGCCAGGGGTATTAAAATAGACATGAGGCTTTTAAATCCTTTCTTTTCACATTTAAATCATTCAGCTGGGGGCTTTATAAAGTGCAACTACAATGTTTTGGTCTGAACTACTCCATATTTTAATTCGACCAGCCCCTCTTTCACCACTTTTCTGATGCATGTCTCAAAAGTAGCTTGTTTTAAGTGTTCCTTTAAGGCGCTTCAGGCTCCGCCCCCTCCAGCTTCCAGACAGGTCTACTCTGGCTTGAGAGAGGGGGTTAGCATTTTCTATAAGTGCAGAAATGTTTTATTTACAATTTTATTGAAATGTGTTAACAGAAGACTTGTTCATCCAGCCTTACATGTTGGACCCAAAGTCTGAACCAGAACCAGAGAAGAATTAAGACGAGGAAATTGTAGTTAATAAGTCCAGATGTGTTCTGAACCGGAATCACGGGGAGAGAGCTGGTAGACCCCTTTATAAAGGTCCCTGAAGGTGTGAAAATGATCTCTGAAAAGTATGTGGAGCTTCTGACGGGCCATTTTCTTCCAGGTTACAAAAAGAAGAGCCGTGCTTTCCCCAACAAAACCATCTTCAAGCACGACAATGAACCAGCTCATGCTCAAAGGAATATCTCTCTGAAAGCTGTCAACACCAGCTACGTTTACATGGACTTAAGTAATCGGATTAAACGGCCATTAAAATAAAAATGYGTCATGTAAACACTACATTCAGATTATTCTGACCTGATTCAGCTCGATCTGAATGAATTTGTAATTGGAATGAGAGAGGTGGTTTATGCTGATTGTTAATCTGAACAGCGTGCATGTAAACACTTATCATGATCAGATTGTGCCCACTTAAACGATCCATTCAGATTATTTAACTGGAATACATTTCAATCAGATCAAAGCATTTTGTGCATGTAAACCTATCTAAATAGGGTAATGGAACATGATGTACCTGAGCTGATTGAGTTGGAAGGTTTAGATCCGGGACCTCCGCGACCTCTACCCGAGTTGGCCCCACGACCCCTGCCACCGCGTCGGGACCCCCTCTCATCACTACCAATACCACGGGGCCTCTGGTCTCGTTCACCAACGTCCTCTGACTCAGAAGCATTGGACAGTTCAGAGTTTGTGCCTGCAACAAGCAAAGTCCAAATACAGACGTTAGAAAAGGATAAATCTATACAGTCATTTTAAATTTTCTGTTAAAAAAGCTGTTTGACCTTCGTTCTTCTCACCGTATCCAGAGTACTGGCTGTTGGAGGCCCGTCTCCCTCTGCCGCGGCCTCCGTAGGTACGAGACGCGTGGAGCGAGTTGCTGCTCTCGTCCGTCGTGTAGCCTTTCTCCCGGTCAGCACCAGGCGGCCCAGTTCTGCTCGGAGGAGCTCGGTACCCGACCCCGATCTGACGAAGCTGCTCGTCGATCTGGAGCCGCTCAAGGCGCAACTGCTCCACCTCCTGCAGGTTGGAAAACAGTTACAGAGTCTGAACTTTAACCATGTTTAAACCAACAGAAGGTACACAGATTAATAAAATGTGCAGTTAAACATAAAATACAAGAAGTGCAGCATTAAAGGTGATCTTTTGTGATCTTGGGAAAAACCTTGCAAAGTGCCCTCTGTCTCAGATGTTTGCATGAACAAGAAAACAGTGTATTATTATCTTTAGGTAATAAAAAGTTTAGCAATCCTTGAAGGAAAGCATATCTTCCACAGCCATCCATGCCACAGTTTAAGAAATGGCAGCATTATATCATTGTAGTCAAATGACAAGAAGAACATTTTGCACAACCTCATAATAAATGAGACGTCACAAAGCTCATGTTGGGAAAGACTTATCTGCTACCACATCAAATTTGAAGTGAGTATCTGGAAAACTGACTGAACTGTAGCCATTTTTGTGTTGCTAAAGTTGATTTGAATCAGGCTGACTTCAAAAGTCGATCAGACAATCAGATTATTACTTTATGAAACCTTAATTAAAATCCAGTGGCTCGAGAGCGTTTGCTAACACTACAAACAAACAAAGAAATAAACAAAAGCATGTTCACACAAAGACACAAGTGGGCAAAAACAGGATCAACAGCGTATAATGTTTTGCGGCAGGCAACTAAAGTTTCTGTTTTGTGCTCAGAGAAAGCAGCAGAATGAAAGGCCTGAAGTCTGAGTTGAAGCTTGTTTTCTGTTAGTCTCTGTTGGTCGACCACTAGGTGGCAGTGGTGTGTAAAGCTCATTCTGACAGCTACTTTTAACCAGATCCCAAGTGATCAACACTGAGTTACTGAGCTGCTCAAACAGCTGCATCTGTCAACAATATTTCATTCTTGGTTGGTTTTAAACTCAAACATTTAGGCTGTAGCTGAATTTAAAACAAGCACCAGTTATATATCAGCCAAATATATAGGGATGGTACCTTTGACATTTGAATCGATTTGGTACCAACATCCGGTACCTGGGAATTGGTACCGGTACTTAACGGTACTAATTTTCGGTACTTTGTGTGTGTTGTTTTTTTAATAATAAACTTTTTTTATTTAACATATTTCTCAATATATAAAACTTAACAAATATCAAGACAACATCCAACTCTTTGTATTGTAACATCAGTTKTKTAACTTATTTCTTTAARSTGAAAACTCTTGAAAACAACAAGACTGTTTTGTCTTATTGTACAAATTAAAATCCAGCTCCACGTGTTTCTATTGATGTCATTTCCCCGCTAGAAAAATGTGTGATGGAGGTTCATGGAAGGCAAATAAGTTTAAATCAAATAAGCAAAAGAGGATGGAGTTAAAATAAATAACAAGTATTCAAGCAAYGTTTTGAGCATCCAGAACACGTCCAACACTTCAAGTTAGCTGCTTSTGCTCAGGTGTTCGGACTGTCAGGAAGCTCCTCTGTTGTTTTCCTCTGCCGGTCTCTGTTTAATGGTGGATGAAATAAAGAAAGTGGTGGTACTTTATTTACTTTGAGCAAGTGAACGTCATGTTCACAAGATAATTAATCCACCAGATAATTCAGAGGCGCTCTGTTCGGTGAGTTTYACTCCAGGAGCTGCGAGGCTTTCARCTACGTTCAGACTGAACTCTGTTTACTGAACCAGCAGCTGCTGACGTCATTACGCTCTTGTGCGATGCTGCGTTCAGGACAAGCATGGAAAACTCACCACTGTTACGTCAATATAGTCACAATGATGTGTTTAGGTACCAAAACATGGTACCGTTTGATGTTACGTGAATAGGTTCTCTGTAGTACCAACAGAATTCAGTACCCATCCCTACAAATATATGAGCCAAACTCTTAAACTAATCAGTTCAGTAATCAGTCATTTGTTTAATCAGACTTTAACATTTAAAACATTTGGAGCAGAAAAACCGTTTCAATTTGCTACATTTGTCATGTCAAACAAACTGTTTAAGGAGGATTATAGTTTTCCTTGCAGAAGGACTTGAGAGTTAATTCATAGAGTGACAGCTGAGTCCACTAACAGCAGCTGAACTTTAAGGGAGGCGAGGAGAAAGGGAGAGGCAGGGCTTTTTTTGTGGGTGGTGAAGGGGTGGGTGTTCATTTTATTTTTGGAAGCTGAGGGTCCAGATAGATGGTAATCTATACTCTGGTGTACCCTTCAGCCCATCCCACAGAGAGGCACTATTTATAAAAGCACATGAGGTAAGGGCAAAATGAGGCGCTCTCAGCAGCTTCCTTCACATGACAGGAAACAGGTGACCGTTAAGACACACTACTTCAAGAAATGCTTTTACATCCTTTTAAGGTTCACAGATTAAAGAGAGGTAAATGCAGCTGAGATGAATTAAGCCTATAGTGCCATCTAGTGGTGCAAACCAACCTGAAGATAGGACACATGGTACTCCAGCAGAGCCTGAGCGTTACTGATGTTCTCCTTAGTTCCCACAAACACAAAAGGAACCATACCCTGATCAAACACAGGAGAAATCACAAGTTAAGCATCATTATCAGTTTCTAAGAACAATCACATTTAAAAAAAACAGACAGCTCATTGCTCAGACAACTAAAATAATCAGCTGTGGACTGATTGGTTAAAAGCAATGAAGCAGAATGGGACAGCACATGCCACAGTTGTGCTCCGCTTTAGCTGAGTTAACTTTGCTGTCAGGGAAGCGGAAAGGAAAAGTGGGTGTTTGTGGGGAGAATGTGGGAGAAAAGCCGAACGGTTCATTCACCTCTTTGCTGCTGACAGTGTCGTCCCTGCCAGCACCCTGCCTGCCTACCTCCTCCCGGGGAAGCTTTTTGTCGTTGTCGCCCTCAATCCTGACACGAACCACACCTGATTTGTCGACTATTTCCTGGATGACTTTTCCATTCTTGCCGATGACTTTGCCTGTGTGTAAGGAGGACAAAAGAAGTCCTAATGAGGGATCCCAAGTGATACGTATTAATTATAAATTTAAATTGTGACATCGTCAAAACGAGCCTGAAAAGAAAAGGTTCTTCTGTTTACTCACCAACAAGGTTCCTGGGTACCTGGAAGTAATCTTCTTTGAACTCAAGATACTCTCTGGCCTGCTTCACTGCCTCTGGGGTCTGAAGAGCACAGAGAACAGAAAATTATTAAACTAGAAGATTTCTGAAGTGGCAACGCAGCTGCTACCTAAAATTCCAATATACCTTTGTAACAAGACAAAAAAAAGCTATTTCTGTAAAATGAGAGTGCAGGAATTTGTTGAAAAAGTTCAAGCTGAGTTAAAGTTAAAGAGAAAAGAAGCCAAATTAAAGCTAAAAATAGCAAAACATGAAGTAAAAACTAAAACAAGCTAAAACAGTAAATACAGACAAAACATTAGCTAAAATCTAAACCTAACAAAAGAGAAGATGTAAAGGCCTGTCACACTATTAACTTTGTAGACAACTTGTGAAATTTTTATCTATCTGCGTTGAAGATAGAATTTAAAAAATCAACTGGAAGACTCTTTTAGGCATGTACATCATGTAACGCTAACAAATTCATCAAATATATAACTTATTAGTAATTTAGACCTAAAACAAATTTCATAAGTTGGCCTAAGTTGTCTAAAACATTATAGTGTGATAGGGCCAGCAAATAATAGATAAAAGCTAAAAATGAAATATTGTACAATGTTGTTCAGGATCTGAAGAGTTTTCTATTAATTTCAATCAAAAGAGGAAAAAAAATGTAATTTTTTTAAGTACAAAAGTTATATTAGTCAGGGCTGTGATGTATGTAACAAGTCAAACATTTTAATATGAATGAATAAAATCGATGGATGTATGATGAAGTAGTTACAGTCCACACAACAAACTAAATAAGGTAAAACACTGATTCAGAACTCAGACTAACATCCAAACTAAGAAAAAATATCTATGGTTTGAAGTGTAATTGTGTACATACAAACAGTGAAGTAAATACAGTGCTTGGCCGAAAAAAAAAATTGCCGCCAAATAAAGGTCACTAATATTTCGGACCACCATGGCACACATTCACAGAGGCATTCCTAGACCTGACCGACTGCAGCAGCCCCACATCATAGCACTGCCCCCACAGCCTGTACAGCAGACACTATGATGGGTGCTTCCTCCAAGACAATGGGTCCCCACTATCCTTTAGTTTTTAATAATGCGTTGGACAGTTCTTCACCTAATTTTTCTACAATCTCCTTAGATGTTTTCTCTGCTTGATGCCAATGATTTGATCCTTCTCAAACAGACTGACATCTTTTCCACAACCACAGGATGTGTCTTACATGGTTGTTTAAGAAGAGAAGCAACTCTTTGCAMCAGTTGGGGTTAAATAACTTGTTACAGCTGAAAGATAATCACCCATGCAGTAATTATCCAATAGGAGGCTCCTACCTGTTTGCTTAGTTAAATCCAGGTGGCGACTGTTTTTTTTTTGGCCAGGCAGTGTACAGAAGGGTTTTGGAATTTTAGACAAATGTCAAACGTTAGCATGTTGTTTGGTGTATAATATGCATGTTTGCTATAAAGCTGTGTGAAAGGACAAAGGTCTAAAAGTTTAACAGAACAGTGGTAAAACAYTCACCTCTCCATAGATCCTGAACGTGCAGCTCTCCTCCTCCAGCTCGATGGCTGTGACACCAGGAACCTTCCTCGCCTGCTGGATGTTGGCACCATGGGAGCCGATGGCAAGACCCATCAGGTCCTCCCTGACTCTCACCTCCTCCTGGTATGCTGACGCTAACTGCTTACTGGTCTGGAAAAAACAAACAAATGTACAGCTGACTGATGACAAACGTGTGCAGAACTACTGATAAACTGTGTGCATTTATCCACGCTGAAATTCCAATTTTTTCCCAAACTAAATATTTTTGTCTTCTCTGTTGACTTGTTTCATTTATATTGTTGAATCATTTGGAAATTTACTGCAACTTCATGAGTGTAAAATAGTGATTTATTATTTGCATGCTTATGTAAATTTATGGGACACTGGACATGACCTACGTCTGCAAGATGTTTTATTTTAACATATGAGAAAATTTCACATGGAAAAGTACTCAAATTTTTTAATTATTTACTTGTGCTGTCAAGCACCAGCCTGTAAATTCTTTGCAGCTAAATAAACATTGTTGTTGATGACAATAAACAAAGTATAGAGAAGGCAGCCAATACCAAATGATGAGCCATGATCTGTTCATCTTAGTTTAAAAAAAACATGTTAGCTTCAGCAACTTTTAAAATCTAGATCTTTGTTTTAACTTTTAAGAAACTGATTCTGTGTACACAAATGTTTTATACCCATTTTCTTTTTTTTCTGTTTCCCCATATTTATGAGCTAGAAAAATACCAACTTCAAATATTGTATTTTCAAAATGTGTACAGTTTCATCACGAGTGTTTACCTCCAGATGTTTGGTGGCTTCCTCGTTGCGTGACATTAAGATTAGTTTGGTACGGATGCTGCGAAAATGCATGTCACTCAGAAGAGCTGCACGCTTCACTGTTGTATCGTTTGTAGACTATTAAAAACACAAAACAGAGAAATGTTAAGAGTTATATTTATATTTTGATTCTATGCTCACATGAAACACAAGCTCAGCTAAAGAAACTGTCTGTTCTGTGAAAACACTGTATGACAGCTGAAGTATGCAGAAGAAGCCGAGTTAGTAAATCCAAAGACGCATAACATCAGCTAAAAGGTAAAAGAACACAGCAAAAAAAAGCTAAAAGGCTAGCTAAAGAAAGTAAAATGTAAGCTAAAAGGATAAAGGCCATCTACAAGCAAATAGCTAGTTCAAAACAGCAAAATGCTAGCTAAAAGCTAAACTAGAAGATAAAAAGTTGCAGAAAAGCAGCTGAAAGCTAAAAATAATAATCATAAATAATAAATTAGAGCAGGTTCTCCGACGCCACTATCAAAGATAATATTTTTGAAAAATAAAAGAAAAAAGAAAAGGAGCAGTGAACTCGGTGTATTTCTATAGAGGATACATTTGTAAAGAAAGTTCAACATTTTGAAAAGAATAAAAGTTACAAGACTCAAAAGTCAAGGTATTCATCGCCTAAATGAGCTGAATGAGCTGATATCTGAGTGGCTAAGACAGCACTAAGTATGCAGAAATAAACAGAATGTGACAAAATAAAACAGTATGTTCGATACATATTTTACATTCTTACAGGTTTATCTGAATATTTTGCATTTGCGTGGCCCTCAGCGAATCAGTGAGAGCTTAGAATACTAACCAGCACGATGAGTTCGTGTGTTTGGGCGCTGTAGAAGATGCAGTTGGCTCCGATAGCTTTCCTAAAGTCTTTGTGAATGCTGTCGTTTGAACATCTGGCGATGGGAAATAATACAGGAAGTTGATCATTTTCTGAAGCAAAACTAAAAGCCTTCATTTTGATTCAGAGTGAAGTGTTTACATGCACACTATTCAGTTTGTACATTCCCTTCACCATGAGACAAGGACAGACTCACATGTCTCTCAGGTCTTCTGGGATGGGGATGGTGACTTTGTGGAAAGTGTTTCGAGTGGCAGGACTGTTAGGGTTGAGAGACCTGATACGCTCCGACGTGACGATCTCGTTGTACGTGGCGTCACATGCTGCATATTCTATTACATAAAACTGAAAAGAAGAAACATATTTAATAACAAACAGGAATATTAGAATGAAAGAGAGAAGAAGGATATTCACAGACTGGTTTCAGAGAAACTGACGATAAGGCCAAAGGGGGGCTCTGCTGCTRTGAATGAATAAGCTGAGAGAGTCAAAGTGAGACTACAGCCCCCCTCCACACCTAAAGGAGTGAATTAAAGCCATCAGTCAATGCTGGACATTCCTGTAGGCTCTTATCACCAGCTTTACGTCACAATCACAGCGCTTCTACAACCCATTGACCCAGTCCTCAACAAGGCTGCAGACCACCTCTCTGCACAGGCCTGCCCTCGTCATTACTGACCGTTAAAACTGGAGAGCCTCAACTTCAACCTGTCCAGCTGTGACGTATTATTAAACCATACAGTATTTATAAAATTATAAATTTGATCACCAAACAAGGATCAAGTTGTAGCCCAGCTCAGAAAGTGTTACTAACTGGAGAGCCTGAACCAATCAGAGCACTCCCTCACAGCAGACCTTACTCAGAAGATATTTATCATCCAGCTCCTGGTGGAAAGCACAAGATAATGTTGCCTGGTGTGTGTGTGTGTGTGTGTGTGTGTGTGTGTGTGTGTGTGTGTGTGTGTTAGCCAAATGTTCCATAGATCACTACATGAATTTTAATGAAAATTTTAGAAAGAAACTAGATACCGCACAGCAGTAGCATATATGACCCCTGCACGTACGCACCAGAACACTGTTACAAACAATGAGTGAAAATTTGTTGTGGAATAGAGTCATTTCCACAGAGCATGTTGCAATCACATGAAATCACATATACTGTCTGTCCAAGGTGTATTAGTCCTAACATCCTTCTCATCATAGCATGAGTTCAGTCTAAAACTCTGACATGAAACGTTGTAGGGGTTATGCATTCTTTCAAAATATGATAAAGGCCTTTAGTCTTATTTTCTTTTTTTAATGTATACTTAGTTACTGTGATTCACAAGCTTTGTCTCACAAAAGCAGCAGCAGTCAGTACTGTACTGTTTGCTTGGTGTTAACCTATTTTTTCCAGATAAAACCTCCACTACTCCTCTGTTTAGCTGCTGATTCATTCGTCATATTAAGCATGAAAAACAACTATTTGTTTCCTTTTTTTCCCTCCTCCACATCATCTCATCTCCATTAAAAGATTAGCCGTTAGCAGCCACTTACCTCTCCCTTCATCATTCTGACCCGTGCCAGCCACCAGCCACATGGCTCCTGCTCATTGGCCCGGGAGTAAACCTGCCAGRAGAGTCAGTAAGTCCAGTCAGAGACGAAACCTTCAATCTGCTGTTTGAACAAGCAGATCGGAGGAAGTCTCCACAGCATTTACTGCATAGATTACAACTGTAATAGCATAATTAATTGTACAAATAAAAAAAAAATCTTGCAATTAAAATYTCATATTTTACATTATTACTATGCGTAACAGCAGCAGCAAAGTTCACTAAGGTTAATCATTTACACGATGCGTTTGTAGGTTTGTTGTTTCTGTCTGAGTTATAACAATGCTAGGTGACTGGACTCACCTCCACTTCTTCACCTTCACCAATATCCTTGTGGTAGTCGGCTGGAGGAGGCAACCGAACGTCGCTGAAGGGCAGCTGTCTTTCTGGCTGCCAGCTACAGCAAGTGGAGGGAAGAAAGTGACACAACAGTTATTACACTGACGAATTACTGCAGAAGTATGAGCAGCTTAAGCTCTTATTCACTTTTACACATTCTTCACACAACGCATTGTGGGATACGAATAAAAGATAAACAGTAAAACTGGCAATGTTCATTAAAGGGAAAAATAAGATCTTCCCTGTTGTTAATAGAACTTTAAGCAACTACAAACTGAACAGTAAGAACAGATGTCTTTACACAGGACAAGAAGCTAACAGTTCATTTCACAAAGTGCTTTAAATCAAAACTAAAAAGGGACTTGAGGCTAACATCCTAATGACCACCTGTTGGTCTTACAGGGGTAGACAAAACCTGGTTGTCCGCAAAACATTTTGGTTGTCCGAAAGAATCTCAAGAAAAATGTAATTTATCAAGTGTATTGTTTTGTAGACAAAGTTTATTATATAATTGTTCTCAGTCAGCCAGGTTGACAGGATCTGTGTGAATAAAATGTCCTCGTTCTCTTCTTTGTAATAGAGTTCAACATTCATAATCTTCTTTCTGCTGAGTATACTGTCTACATGGCCTTATTAAAAGTTACAGTTTAGTGTTCTGTTCGGTTTTACCAAGTTTTATCTCCTGTTCATTTTTACAATGATGAACACCTGCGGCAGAGAACTTTAATCAAGGTCTTTTTGCTTGTTTGTCTGGAGGACAACCAGGAGACAGGATCTGGTTGTTCGAAATGAAAATAGGTTGTCTTGGACAACCTAAACAATGGTTATGTCTACCCCTGTCTTAATTATTTATTAATTTATTTTTAATGTTTCTGAATTTGATGGTTTCACTTTGTTGTCTTACTGTGATGTGATAACTATGTTTTGTTTTGTTTTAGCTTCCACCTGTCTTGGCCGGGTTGCTCATGGAAAAAGAGGTTTTTAATTTTACTGGGACTTTCTTTGTAAAATAAAAAGGTTAAAATAAATTAAATAATAAAAATTACATTTAACAAAAATTCTTTAACAACTTCTAAAAGAGATAATATATA